CATGTGTGTGCGAGCGCCTCCTTCAGTTCCAATTAGCAGATGCATAGGCCAAGGAGAGACTTGGGAAGAGCCACGACAGCGGCGCCCACCTGCGTCAGATTGGTGGCGTTCCCGGGCGAGAGGAGCTTCACAGCGTATCTGGGGATGTCCTCGGCGCCCGGGCTGAGGCCTTCGGTGTCCAGCCCGGGGAAGGCCTCGGAGGCTAGGTCGGAAGGCGACGCCTGGGACAGTAAATCCTTCCACTCCTGGTACTCCAGAAGGCGCACGCCCTCGCACAGCCCTTCCCCGGGTCCGCAGTGCGCGGCTTGAGCTTCCCGGAGCGCCTGGGCGAAGGTGAGGACGGCAACGGCAGCGGCGGGCGCGGCGGCGTCGTAGGCGAAGTCTAGGGCGTCGCACGAGGAGCACTCAGACAAGGCGGCCACGTACTGGCGCCGCGGCCCGTCCTCAGAGGACAGGTCCCGCTGCAGGTGCTCCGAAAAGTCGGGGAGCACCTCGGCGATGCGCTGCAGGAGGATGGTGGGCGTGGTCACGCCCTCCAGCTCGGCCACCGGTACCGGCCCGCCCGTGTCCTGCAGCACCAGGATCTCGGCCGGCCCGCCCTCCGCACCCAGAAAACGCGCCAGCTTCTGCACTTTGTGCCGCGTGCCCAGCAGGACCACAGTGCCCGGACCCTTGCGCAAGGGCTTGACCAGGTCGGCGGGGTCCTCCGCCTTCAGCACCTTCTCCAGGCAGCGGTAGCCATCCTCGGCGGCCGTGATGAAGTGCTGCATGAGGACCTCGCCCTCGACGTCCGCCGTGTGGACCACGCTCATTGACCTGATCCCAGCGCCGGCTAGGACGTTGGTCACCGCCTGAAGGAGGACGTTCGAAACAGGGTCATACAAAACATCAAGGAGAAACATTTGGATTGGACTGCTTCGAGTGAGCTCTCTGGTGGACTGGGCTTGCATTTCTTATCCTTCTGTCTTGGACAAAGTTGTGTATAAACTAGCGACTTTTTTCTTCCTATAAAGTATACCATAACGTGACCAAAGAAAACGAACGTAATGCTAACTCGCGCACCTAGAGATTCCACAACTACCATTACCAACGCCATCCACACAAGCAATACCAGCAGTCTCACAGCACCTGAAACCCTGAAAGCAAACCCTTCAGAACTCGCCTTAGCGGACCGTTGCGGAGCGGGCGCCACGAGGTCGACGGGTGTGCGGACGGAGGCGGGGCGCGGACCGTAGGCCAAGAGCGGCACGTGGAGACTGCGGGTCGCGCGGCCGACGGCGGAGGCGGAGGCTGCGTCGCCCGGGCCTGAGGGGATGTTCACATGTCAGCAAGCTTTCTGTTCAATACTCTCGTTATTAACTGTACTGACACTGTATATATATATATATATATATATATATATATATATATATATATATATATATATATGTGTGTGTGTGTGTGTGTGTGTGTGTGTGTGTGTGTGTGTGTGTGTGTGTGTGTGTGTGTGTGTGTGTGTGTGTGTGTGTGTGTGTGTGTGTGTGTGTGTGTGTGTATGTATATATATACACATTTTTTATCGCACTGAGCGAATTCCTGTACTCCGTCAGTGAAACTGCTGTCATATCAATTCACATTTTTCCAGACTTTTCTTTAAAAAAAAAAACTCAATACCCAGTGTAAGTGCTTCAATCTACAGGTTGGAGAATCTACTCTAAATTACAGTAAAGAATAGTATTAATAATCCCCCCCCAAAAAAAAAAAAAAATCGATGGTAATAACACCCAAAACAAACGCACACAATTCATCTTGGTAGAATAATTACCCAAGAACCCGAGAGAGACAGCCGGGTTGATGCAGTCCCTTGTGTCGTCTGCGAGCGAGGCCAGCGCCATCTTCACGGAGCGCTCGGACTTGCCGCATGTGTCTACTACTCTCAGCCCTGCGAAATCACGAAAAATCATGGTCATCTTTTAACCAAATCATCTTTCGAGTTCACTCTTTAACTGCAAAACAAATTAACGAAGCAGTAATAAGTGTATAAAGAGTGAATGAGACCAGTGACCTAGATAGAGGGTGGGCAGGGACTGTGATGGCAGTTTGTTTTCCTGTGACGGGCTTGTTCATTCTTAGCTGATTTAAATTAGATATTGCTTAATTCTCCCTGTTTCCGCCCTAGCATCTGTTTTCCTGGCGGCTTTACTAAATATTAGATGATAAAGAAAACGGATATAAATTATAAAATTGGACCGTATACTATAATGAAACGGAAGAATGTTAGATTATAGTTACAGTAAGTAGGATCAGTCTGGTGATTATAAGATTCCATGCGATACTTTCTTATTGCATGTTTAAAAATGATATACAATAAATACATTACCAAGCCAATATTGTAACATTCAACAATGCACCCACATCTCTTTATAGAAACTGTCTTCGATGTATAACTAACGAAAATGCGACATTGAACCTGTAAACATGATTTATCTAAAAAGTGTGTTGAAGGTTTAAAGTTGCTACATGGGACTGGCTCTATCTTTGGCGATGCCCAGCTAGAAGACCCAGCGTACGTGACATCGAATGAAAATTCCGCCGCTGTTGGTAAGATGTTTTATGGTCAAATGTTATGACTGATCTTAATAAAGGATGGGAAGAAGCTGAATATTCTTTTGTATAAGAAAAGAAAATACAAAATAGAGCAGGGGCCAGCAACATACGCCCCGTGAACCAGATCGGCCTGCCATTCAAAGTATTTTGACCCTCTGTCATCTTGCTTCACCCAGCTTGTTCAGTGTTGAGATTTGAGATACAGATTTGGTAATGGGTTAACATTACTGCTCCCATTCATTACCTATTAAGATTGATATAGCCTACCACGGTCTCACAAGTAGGCCAATAGCCCCTACCCACGCTCTAAAAGGCTGCCGTCCCCGAGTGAAGATAATAAGCATCTTAAAACCTAATCCAAAGATCTATAGTGAGTTTTAAACCTGATACCATCTTGCATACTGCATCTTTGTCTAGCGCACGTCGGCCATCGCGGCGAAAAGTGTTTCTTACGTTCCATATGAAATCTGAATGATACATATATATTTTTCTATGTGGATGATTGTCTAAAGATTAAGGTACACTCCAAAGATGCAGAGACGACCCAAAGAGTGCAAAGAAAGGTACTGAAAATTCTCTATTCTCCAATTCTCTAACCCTACCCAGCGTCACTCCCGGAATCAGTTCAAGTTCGTTGACCTTTTGCACCGCCAGCCTCGTCGCTTCCATGATCTGCATCTCGGTTAGGCCCAGCTGGTGGAAAAATCAGAAAGAAAAAATATATTGTCCTGTCATTTGCTCTCTCTCTCTCTCTCTCTCTCTCTCTCTCTCTCTCTCTCTCTCTCTCTCTCTCTCTCTCTCTCTCTCTCTCTCTCTCTCTCTCTCTCTCTCTCTCTCTCTCTCTCTCTCTCTCTCTCTCTCTCTCTCTCTCTCTCTCTCTCTCTCTCTTCTCTCTCTCTCTCTCTCTCTCTCTCTCTTTGTCTGCCAGTCCATCTATCTTTCTGTCTATTTATCTGTCTATCTATCTTTATATCATTTATTTCACTTACACTAAAACGACACAAACACATGCAAATACGCTTTCCGTGTTATTGCTTTTACTGTTGCCATTATTACTGCTATTACTATCAACGCTATTACAGCCGCTACCTTATTAATAACAGCAGTAATCATGATAACGGTACAAACTACTTTCCTAATTACAAGCAGTAATGATAGTTATGATAATGATGATAATGATACTATTGCTGCTGCTGCTGCTGCTACTACTACTACTACTACTACTGCTACTGCTACTACTACTACTACTACTACTACTACTACTACACTACTGATAATAAGAACAATACAGAAAATAGTAATGATAACGTCATCAGAAGTAGCAACACCAACATGCTAATGATTACAGTCTTTATCCTTATCATCAGTTAACATCAGTTAACGACACCAGCAAAAGACGCACCGAACGCGCATCCTCATCTCACCTTCGAACAATCTCGACCCGTGTGAAGAGGCAGAAGTTCTGTCAAGACGACGTCCCCGCCCACGAGGAACACCTCCCCCTCGCCCATGGGAATACACGCCCCCGACGCCCAGCCCAGACGCAGGAGCAGACCCGCCCATACCCAGGTCCGCACGGTCACGCCCATCCTGTTGGCAAAGGGAAAAAAATGGTTGACCCGAAAATTCTAGCAACGATGATGATGGATACTGTATTACTATTAAGAAAAATGACTTTGGTGATTGAGATTTTTGCGGAAATGAGAATTAAAGATCAGGTAACAGTCATGATAAGTGCGATGCAGCTAATAGCACTACTAGTATTGCTAATAGTGATAATTGTAGTAATAGTAACAGTGGAATAACATATGATAGTGATATCAATGGTAATTAATAGAATAATAAAAGTAATAATGAGAATGATAACAATGATAACGATAATAGATAATGTTGATGACAATAGTAGTAATGATGATAATGATAATATATATGTCGATAACTATAACGATAATGATAAAGAAGGTAATATGATGATACGATAATTTGTTCTGGATCAATATCCGGATCGCCAACGAAATTTAATAGCATCTGGTAAAAAAATCTGTTCATAATTTCTTGAGTTATCCTGCTAACCAGTGAACAAACAAAGTACTTAACCAACGCAATGTGATTATAAAATTGATAGTAATAAAGATAATAAAAATAGGAAATTGTTATAAATGATAATGATAATGGTTATAATCCTAACAAGACTAATGATAGTAATATTTATTACTAAATTATCATCCTTATTATTATTATGATTAAATAATAATGATGATATTGATGATACTAATAATACCAATAATGAAACAGTTACTACTACTACTGCTAACAACAACAACAACAATAAGAAGAAGAATGATGATGATAATGATAATAATAATAATGTAGATGATAATGATGATGACAGTAATAATGAGGACAATATATAA